GTTCCCACTGTGTGCCATTCGCATCATCGTTGCTGGGATCGCCGTTGACAAATCTATCGAGGAATATCGTGTAGAATGGGAAACGCCAGTTATCCGGAGAAGGGGTGTATGAGTGACCATCCCACTGACCCGAGTAGTCGAGAGGGTTCGTAGCGGTTTCATTTTGGTTCAAATTCCAATCTACCTCTTCAGGGAGATGTGGCAGAGATTGTGCAATGCGGCTCAATAATGCGATAGTGAAAAGATAACGATAGATAACAATGAACAGCTTCATTCTGCACAAGTGAATGCCACTATAGTGACATCCACCAAGCGCGCTGGGGGGGCCTCAACTGCAGAAAGAAAAAAAGAGGAAGTCAAACAAGCAGTAACAACAACAGGACAGTGCATGCCCAGAAAGAAAGAATATCCCATGAACCCAGAGACTGCAGAGATTCATAGGGTATCACTGATGGGCAGGGAAAGCATGTCATAGATTAGTGCATTACCCCGGCGCGATAACGCAATGTCCCGTACAGCCTCCTCTGTGCACTGACACTTGGGTGAGGCGCTCGAACAGGCCTAAATTTGGCCGATAGTTCTTGGGGCTGACATACACGCCACATTTGGTGGACATGGACGGTGTAGGTATCCCGACCAGCGAGTCTATTTCAGTCGTTTGAAAGCCAATTCAGCTTGTAACACGCCACGCCACCTTGCTCGGGCCCCAAGATGAGGTTCCAGGCCCAACACTGGCAGGCTCATGTCTCATCCGGCACCAGTCTGACATGCATTGATATGGGTTTTCCGAAGCGGTCGAGAGGCTGAGCGAGCAGCCAAAGTGGGTCATGACGATGCCTTCTCAACGGTGGTGGGGGTAAATCCACCCGACAGCTCACACAGAATCAAGAACCCATGGGGGTGGAAGGATCCGTCGCGGTGTTGGGGAGGACAAGAGTGGAGGAAAGCTATGGTTTACTATGGATAGGAGCAGCCTTCGACCTGGCATATGCAGTGTCATGATGTTTCTCATCAGCTCGGGAACCTCCTGCAAGGACGAAGTTTGAAGAGCCAGTGATATATCCCGGGCCACGGGGATCGGAGATAGACGAACCCCATCAACCCGACAGTGACATATGCCCGATGGGGCGAGCAGAACTTGCAGATTCCGTGAACCTAGAAGGGCGAAAACAGCAGAGACACGTCATCGCGAGAGGATGACCTATCCGAGATAGTGGAAGCGAGCCAAGGAGGGAAATGTGAGTGGGATAGACTATCTGTTCGGGATACGAAGGCCGATAAGGGGAGAGAAGTGGAGCAGAGCAAATGTTCCGACGGGAATTAAGGAGAAAAGAAAAAAGGAAAAATAACGGGAAGTTTTAAGGTTTCGCTCGCGCTTTTTTTGAGAGTCTGTTCACACACACTCACTTTTCCGGGCCAGCAAAGCCTGCCGATCGGGTGAAAGTGACAGGAACTAGTAGGAACCAACCACCTGGCGAACGGGCCGTGAGTTAGATGTCAGATTTGCTGGTCAGTAAATGGAAGTTAAGATGTCTATGGATCTGTTAGGGTCCGAAAAGTACCAATACCCAATACCCAATACATATTCACCCATTACGTTGTCACGTAAGTTTCGGTACAGTCAGGATACATCGGTATTGTCACTGTTGACTTGTTCACTGGTCGGTAATCATCTTTTTGTGCCCTGAACAGACACAAAGGATGTATGTGTCCGCATCGTATATGAACATGCTCAACAGAAGGTTACGCAGGTCATAATCATCAAGGCATTTCTCTCCCCTCTTTCTAGCTAGTTATTCCACCACTGAAACTACTCTCCTTGCCTTCTTTCATCTGCTCATGCAAACGCCACCAACCATGGACGGGTGGTGGATCATCTCGTTGCTGGTGGTAACCCTGGGATTCTCCACGGTTAATGCGGCTTCCAGAGACCAATGGATCGGTCGCTCTATCTATCAAATCGTGACCGATCGCTTTGCTCGATCAGATAACTCAACCACCGCTGCTTGTGATGCAGCACAGGGGAACTACTGCGGAGGTTCTTTCCAGGGCATCATCAACAAGCTGGACTACATCCACGATCTCGGCTTCGATGCGGTAGGTTTAGCACTACAGAGTAGTGTTCCTCACACTTTCTGCAACTCTTCTCATATTCAAGTCTCCAGATATGGATCTCTCCAGCGCAAACCCAGATTTCCGCCCGAACAGCAGATCTCTCAGGTATGGCAATTCGAAACCTTCATAAACCATCTTCAATTTATTGTACATTGTTACATACATGATATATTTCTGTAGCTTGGTAGGTAGATAATTCAACATGTTAACAGTTCATAGCATACCATGGATATTGGCCCAATGACCTGTATTCCATCAACTCCCACTTCGGCACTCCCAAGGAGCTTCAAGCCTTGTCCTCTGCCTTGCACAATCGTGGAATGGTAAGTCTATCTCCCATGTTTCCTTGAGAACGACGTTGACCATGCGAAACCCAGTACTTGATGCTTGACATCGTGGTTGGTGATATGGCCTGGGTGGGAAATTCTAGCACCGTCGATTACAGCACTTTTAATCCTTTCGATGATGAAAAGTACTTCCACGACTTCAAACTCCTCTCCAGTGATCCCACAAATGAGACATGTGTCCTGGATGTAAGCGTGCATCGTGACATATTACCCCTGGAAGTTTTGCTAATGCCATTCTAAGTGCTGGATGGGAGACACCGTCGTATCGCTTCCCGATCTGCGAAATGAGGACGATCAGGTTCAGAATATTCTGGGCTCCTGGATATCGGAGTTGGTCTCGAACTATTCGAGTAAGCTTTATTTCTCATCTGTTCTGGCATATTGATTAATCTGTCTTTTGTTTCTAGTTGACGGACTGCGTATCGACAGCGTCCTAAACATCGCCCCCGACTTCTTCTCCAACTTCACCAAATCATCGGGGGTTTTCACTATCGGTGAAGGTGCTACGGCCGATGCAGCTGATGTTTGCCCTCTGCAGCCAAGCTTGAATGGGCTATTAAACTATCCATTGTGAGTACCGCATCGTGATGAGTAGTTTGAGTCGTGTTGACCTTCTCAGGTACTACATTCTCACCAACGCCTTCAACACAACCAACGGGAACCTGAGCACCATTACCGAGTCTATCAGCTATACCAAGGGGCAGTGTGAGGTAGGACATGCTCCAAAGAGGAATGTACCTCCAACTGACCATATACAGGATGTCCTAGCTCTGGGGACGTTTACTGCTAACCAGGATGTTCCGCGCTTCGGTTCATACACGTCGGATATATCGGTAAGTCTAGCCGCTATTCCTATCTCAACACTGAACATTGATTGATTTTTCTGCTCATGAGCAGCTGGCGCGCAATATTCTGACCAGCAGTATGCTGGCGGACGGCATCCCCATCCGTATGTTCCCATCCCCACTCCCCATAGGAGGCAGGATTTCTCAGACACCACTGATGATCAAAATACAGTCTATTACGGCGAGGAACAACATCTGACTGGATCCTACAATCCAGTCAACCGCGAGGCTCTCTGGCTGACCAACTACTCGATGCACTCGACTTCCCTCCCCGCCCTCGTCCAATCACTGAACCGCCTTCGATCATACGCTAGCGGAGATGGTGAGCAGTACACGCAAAATTCGCAATCTGGTAGCGATTACCTCTCGTACCTGTCAGCTCCCATTTACAATTCTACCCACATTCTGGCTACGCGCAAGGGGTTTGCAGGCAATCAGGTCGTGAGCGTCGTATCCAATCTGGGAGCCAAGCCAGCCAGCAAAGCCACCACGAAAATTACATTGGGCTCAGACGAGACCGGATTTCAATCCAAACAAAATGTGACCGAAATCTTATCTTGCAAGACCTATGTCACGGACTCCAGCGGGAATCTGGCAGTGGATCTGAGCTCGGACGGGGGTCCGCGCGTGTACTATCCCACAGACAGCCTGAAGGACAGCACCGATATCTGTGATGATCAGACTAAATCGGCGACCCCGAGTAGCTCCGCAGCCTCATCCGTCAGCCCAAACCAATCCAAGGGGTCTGAGACTTGTTTGTTTGGGGTGCCGCTGGGGATAAGCACATTGGTGGTCACCGTTGCGATGGCCACGTCCTACGCGTTCATCTAGTCCCTTGAGCCTCTCTCCTGATGTTTATCGCCTGTCTTTCCCTGTTTCGCATTACCCCCATGGCCATTGTTCCCTATTACGCTCTTTCATCTGTCTTGAAACTGTGGCTTTACATGAAACCCTATATTATGCCTCTGGCTGCACCAATAGAGTACTAAGGATAGATTGTGGCGTCTTGCCTCTTACTAGTCAACCTGACATCACCGTAATATACATGTGTTGTTCCTTCTAGATCTAAATGAATTGCATTAAACGCCTTATAGCACAGCGACCAGATTATCCGTGTCTCTTCGCGTAGACGAGGTAGTAGTAATGGAGGGTGATCACTTTCGGAATTCCCAACTGTTGCGGGCTTTCTCGTTCTTTGATGGGTTGCCCTGACGGTCGGGCGCACAGGAACCGGCTCGGCTTCGGTCACCCTTGGAAAAACAACCACAACCACAAACGACAACAAGTAGCCTGCCAGCTTGCAGGATGACCGCAGGTCCCAGGTAGATACACTCTGCCAGCCAATCTGTCTTGATCGGGACATCTTACCGTATTGAACGGGTATGAAATAACAGCCAGATACTGCCTACAAAAATAGAAATACGGATCTTTAACAGCCTCGATTTCCCAAAGCCCTTATCGGCTCTTCCGTCTTGCAGCCAATCCCTCCTAGTGCCAACCTTGCGCTGACACGAGATGGCTTCAACTTGCTTTCCCAGCTCGCGTCTTTATCTGTCAGGCAAATTTCGCACCCACAGCCAGTCGTATCTGAGCATCCCATTGGTCCGATATTGTGATATATCCAGCACACCATGACAGATCACTGCTTCAGAGACATACATCCCGGTCATGCCCGATTGCTGTCACTCTACGTGGAAATGTCTCGGATTACACTTTGGGGTCCCTTTTTTTTGCTCTTCCCGCGAGAGGCTCAGCCCATACTGGTGATCATCTCGTATTGCTGGTTCAGTGTGCGGTCTAGACAATCAGCCTGGTCTCGATCTGTTGGGCTTCAGCCAAAGGCTGCTGAGTGATTCAGTACAGAGAAGTATACCCGGTGTCGTTATACGATCCCGTCAAAGGGAACCCTTCTCAAAGATGTTGTATATATATATAGCAGGCAAATATCCCGGTAGGGGATATGACACTACTACTTCCTAGCTACTAGTATCCTCTGCAGTAGTGATTCAGATCGTATCAACATGCGCTTCACTATCACCGCCGCCTCGCTAAGCCTCATCTCTTCGGCTTTGGCCATCACCATCACCGAGCCCACCTCAGGCACTGAATGGGATTTCTCCACTCCCAAAACCATCAAGTTCACCAGCGATGCCAACGATCCGTCGGTGATCAGCATCATCTTGCGCACCCAGGACGGATCCTTCCAAACCAAGCTGGCGGACAACGTAAAGACTTCCACTGGGGAGTACACTACCCAGCCCAACCCTAGCATTTCCAACGGGTGCGTACCCTAGACCGTGTGAAATCACCGACAGTTGGAAGTGGGAACACTATTAACTTCCTATTTTCCATCCTAGGTCTGACTATGAAATCGAGATCATCGACTCGTCGGGCGAGCTCGCTGTGAGCCCGACTTTTACTGTCGAAAAGGGTGCTTCAAACGATGGTACTACTTCCTCGTCATCTTCTTCCACTTCCACTACACCCTCTTCCTCTTCCTCTTCTTCTACCTCCTCCTCTTCGACATCCAGTGAGACCGAATCCACCACAGTCACCCCTACGACTGCGGTGTCTTCGACAACTACCTCGTCGAGCAGTCATCTATCTTCATCTTCAGGCAAGATGTCTTTTCGTTATTGTGGCACGGCGACCTCACTGACCGAAGTGTGATTTCTCTACAGGATCGACTACGTCTACCTCCACGTCTTCATCCTCTTCTACGGGTACTACGCTCGCCACGTCCGCGTCTTCTACCTCGGGGTCGAACAGCACTGCCGCCACGACTACCGCTCAGCTATCTACCGGCGCGGCTTCATCTACATTCAACGCTCCTCAAGGGCTTGTGGCTCTAATTGGTGCTGCTTTGGCGCTTCTCTACGTCTGATCATTAAATTCATTTCGGGATCATGCACACGCTTGCTTTTAGTCTACGAGTGATGATAATTGAAAATAGAACTGCTTATTTTGTGGGGATTTTTTTGGTTCTTTGTACTTGTTCTTTGCAGTCTTAAGGCATAGTCACTAGTATCGGACTAGATCTCTCTGCGATTGCTTTTGCTTAAGGGCGCACTAGAAAATGAGAGATCAAATCCCTATCGAACCCATGAGCCGCAAGCGTATGTCGATCCAGCGGGGCGCGAATTGACAACAGATCATCTCCACACTTCCTTGCCGATCGAACTTTTTTTTCCTTTTCTTTCGCTGGTATCCGTGTACTGTCGATGTTAGGCCTCTGTAGCACATACCCAGATGTCAATATCGTGGTTGTTGAAGGTTTCATTATGAAACCGTTATTTGTGCCCTCCTTGTTTTTATCTTGCCCGGAGATATATGCTTGGGACTTGTTGACGTTTCCGGTTAATCGAAGTATGACCGATTCTAAACGTAATCGTACTTTCGGGTACTGTTCTTTGTGACGTACTAACAACCCTTTTGCTGGACACGTCACAGATAGATCAGCGCACTAAGCAGCAGGAGATGCAGGGATGCTGACGGGAGATCTTTGTCCAGTCGGATCTTAGGGCCTGGCCACGCTTCCACCACCGCGGCCATCAGTTGCGACTACCGGTGAGTGATTACGAGACGGTACCTTACCGTATATAGTACTTGGGAAAAACCTTCAACTTTCATGAGCCATCAAAGGCATATTAAGCTAATCAGAGATATATTTTGAATTGAGACTTTTCGTATTCTTTCACACTCATGATGACTAGTATGTGTGCTCCACTCCAAGCAGCCGAGCCTAGAAACATTCAAGAGCATACCAATACCGTGGGATGACACTCCTTACGGTTCCGTCTTACTTCTCTACTTCTTATCTTTCACCTCATGCTCTATGGGTCCATCCAATCACTACGTGAACAGTTCAAAGTATGTTAACTTAGGTAAGCTACTACCCAACAGGAAGAAAATTTTGCGATGGCGGAATGTGACATCTCATCCCCAATAACATGGCAATCTTCACACCGCCGGAAGTCGCGTATGCATCTCGGACTGCACGAGATAAGGCTGGGTCTCCCCTTGCGTTACAGCTTCCGCAGCAGTTGGTTTCTTGTTTACCTGCTGTGTAACCAGTTTTAGAACCTCGGAAAGTGATGCAACTTTCGACGATCGACACCTATTTATAGTCATCCGTCCTATTAGTGCAGACTCTTTCTGGTCCAGGATATACCAACTCGCAGCACCCAGTGGGTTACTGATTACATATGTGTACCCGGAAGGTCATATATATTGTATCGTTGATATGGTAATCTTAATAATTGTAGTGTAATCGGCACGGCCAGCGTATCCCAGTAGTCGTCTAAGAGAAGAAAGGTGCCACCGCTGTGGCAAGAATACCACCCGAAGATCCAGGCCATTCCAGATGATATAATATGCTTTCAGTAAGGGAGATCTCACAAGCCACACGGCACGCGTTTCTCGCTCTGGATCCTCAAAAGGCTCCATGGGTCTCGTAAATTCTACTTGACGGATTCCTGGCTTCCCCGATTACTCGCCTAGATGGAAAAACCTCGCGGAAGTGCGCATTAGGTGTCTGAAGAAAGGCCGTTCCTGTACTGAGGAAATCAGACCAGCAGCAAATGGTGCGGGCAGGCCATCCCGATCCCAGTGGCGTAGTTGCCAGTCGCGAGGGTATGCCGCCTGTTGATGTCGAGACTCACGAAGTCCAAACCGTATCTGGAGAGGGGATGCTCGCATTACGACTGAGGTCGGTCCACTTAATATCACCGACCACCTTGGACCCATCCGCTTCACCCAAGGTCAGCTCAGCCCGGTACTCTGAGCCTAGGATGAAGTAGAAGGAAAAAGCCTATCTCGGCTAGCTGTCCGCTATAATACCATGACCAGAATGTAGGGACCCCGTTAACCGCAGACTGTGGCGCAACTCTCATCCCTATAATGATGTGCATGCGTGTAATTCGGAACACCTCTGGGAAGTCAATAATGCAAATGATATATAATCCCGACGAGGTAAGCTCTGCTAGACAGGCGGTCTCACAGGTTACCGTGCAACTGACAATTTCTTACTTGCGCAAGGACACCGCCGTAGCACCAGTGCTGTAATCTCCCACGAGTTTCACATCGAGCTGCCGGAAGAAGGTTCGAAATTTTGCTCTTTGAAAGAGGATATTACTACCGCAGTCCACGCAATTCCTCGTCGGAAGGACTGGGTCTGTCTATCCTGTGTCGTACATCACTATGCAATACGGATGATTGATCATGAGCATGGATTGCGTCGAAGATAAGGTAGGCTACCGACAAATTCTGTGGATAGCAGACCTAGATCATGCTATACCACTGTACACAACCATCAATCTTGATACTGAATGAGAGTCAGTGTAGGGGCTTACCTGAAGATCAATATTGACAATTCAGTCGCACAGTGGCACCATCACTTGTCCCTGATTATTGGAAGAAAAACGCTGTCCGACATGGCCTTCCAGCTGAACCTTTGGTGGCGGTACAGTAGGTGGAAAGGATTTACTGGAGAGAAATGCCAGCAAAGAACCAGCAGGTCATAGAAGACAAACATTCCAATGTGGCCAACACTAGACGCGCAAAGAAACTAACTCTTTGAGTGGGTTATCGTTGTGCTACCACGTATTGGCTTCATAGGTCGCATTTCCCCCTTTTCTCCCAGATTATAGCCGGGGTTACATACAGACAGTCCTCATGTGTGTTGTACCCCGGTCAAGTTATCCATATTGCATTCTTGCATTCGTCTGAGCCGCGTCCTTCCGACATTATGGACAAACCAGGCCTTCTCCCATCTGAACCCTCTTTTGTCCTTTGAGTTCTCTTTACCTCGTTCAGTTGAGACACCAGCAAGACTTGGGGAACTACAATGATCGTTATGTTGTGGCCATTGAGGACGACATCGGGAGTAGCCTGTCTAATAGATTACTATGTAGCCACGGTCACGTGATCTAAAAGTCTGTATCTCAACTGCTTCTCTGAGCCACCTAGTCAGAAAGAATCATATAGTTATTGTAATTTTATTTGTCAATCTTTAATAATTAGTGAGGTGGCATTGGTGCTGAAGACGGCTCTGGGAGAATTTCATATCATTGACTGGGGGTTCGGCTGTCTAGAATCGATTACTCCGAATTATGTGTAATCATCCGCAGACCACAATAACGGCATTGGTTGATTTTCTAGATTCCACTGATATCTGGCTTATCCGCGGTAATTGTCAGATCTTATCATCTGATAAGAACGGGGTTACTCCAGGGTCCGCTGCTAACCGTGCAACTTGCCATCCTTATTAGACACGTCTCCTAATCGATCCAGCATCCTTCTTAGTATCCTTGAAATTCAAATCCTAAAGAACCAAGGGATTTTTAACAACCTACTGCTGATAACACCACGAGTCTAGAAGCTTCCTATATATATGTAACCTCACCTTGGCCATTTGCTATACAAACTGGACCATCGCAATTACCGCCATGATGACCAGCACATCCAACCCGCCAACCAACTTCGCCATCTCCACCGCCCGCCTTGACATCACGTACTTCGACCCGACCAGCCCATCCCACAGCGCCTTCCTCGCTCACCTCTGGAACACCCCCGACTTCATCGCCACCAACGGCAAAACCTCCATCACAGACAGCCATTCCGCCCAGACCTTCATTCAGACCCGGATCATTCCCCAATACACCCGCAAAGGATTCGGCCTCCTCCTCGTCAACCTCAGGCCCACCTCCAACTCACCTCATCAAAACACCCTCCCGATTGGCACCATAAGCCTCATGCAAGGCGATCCACCAAATTGCTACTCTGTACCAGATGTTGGATTCGCTATTCTTCCAGAGCACCAAGGGCGAGGATACGCGACTGAGGCAGCGAAGGCGGTCATTTCCTACGTGCAACGCGAGTGGAACGTGCAGGGGGTGTTTGGGTTTTGTGCGCCGGGCAATATGCGTAGTCGGAGGGTGTTGGAGAAGAGTGGGCTGGAGTTCAGGGGGGTGAGAAAGTTGAGGGTGTTCGGGGGGAGGGAGAGTGCAGTATTTGCTTTGGTGGGAATGGAGGAGGATTTGGGGGCTTATGGGATTGATACATAGATATATTTCTATTAGGGAAACTCCAGGAATTTCTGGATTACTTTGATTGCTGACTGCTTTTGCTTCTTTACTATCTTTGAAAAATAGTATCTTTCTTAGGTAGTTGATGGAGAAGGATCAGAACATAATAAGATCTACTCATTAAAGTAGAAGACCTGTTAACTAGGTAAGGAATCAGGTACTGAATACTATATAGATTTGTCTAATAATGATAAAGGTAGCCTATATCCACAAAGTAGACTGGTCCTTGAAGATCAGTATCCTAATACTAAGGAATCAACACCTTATAGGTGTCAGAAGGGTGTAGAACCTGAGGCTGTCACAGCAGCCGCGATGGACATCGTCTCTGTGTGGATTGCTTGTAATTCCGCGTCGTGTATTACCTCTGACACTGGTTTTCCAGCGTGAACATTCCGTGCCACCAGAGCATTCGCTTCAGCTCATATGATAAGCACGATAAATGGATTCTTTTCTACAAGATCATAGTATACCATGGTCTAGTATTGTCCTTTAGTGGGTGATTGGAACCTTGAATAGCACATTCTTATTTCTTCTTCTGCTTGTATCCATGTTCGTTGCATATTTAAGAAGTGGGATACAGACATAATGTAGTTTACAGTCCCGAAGCTTTAGTTCTGCGGAGCTATACTCCGTAAGCGATAGGATGCTGCCCAGTTTCTACAGGCCAGCCTTTCGGCGATAAGCTAAAAATAGCGAGTATCTCAATGCTTTGCGTCATCTGTTTTACTTAACACTAAATACATGTCTTGGTATACAGGGTAGTCCATATGACTTTCATTTGGTCTTGTCCAGACTCTTCTAATCTTCTCGATATCTAGTCATTCATAAGTCGTTATCATCATAATATATATCGGCGAGCCACAACAAAAGAGCTACAATAGCAGGTTCTTTGCTGCCACTGTGAGATTCTGTCAAATCTGACTACTGGCAGCAGGAGAATGCACTCAGCCTGAGAGACAAGTAACAAGACTATATTGTTTCTTCAGGGCAACACCTTAGACGAACATCCTTGCTTAGCATGGCAAATAGCCTTCAATGTCTGATGTATGCCTGGATAGAAACAGGACGCTGGCCATCTGTTTGGACCCAGGGGAAAAGGACTCTTCCTTATGATTCTTCATTAAGAGACATTAGTAATCTTCGCTTGATTAGAAAATATAAAACAATCCATAAGCATTAGTCCATTGTTATATTCTCGTCGAACCCATAGTTATCGGGAAACATTTTGCTGAGTATCATTGAGCATGCTATAGCAACATGGTCCCTGTTATAAAAACTCCTTCGTATTCAGCTAGATTATTGGGCGCCATTGGTCAGTTCGCATTGTTTTCCTGTCCGGACTCATGGCTTTTCTCTTGTATATGTAGATGCAGGAGCAGACGAAGAGTAGGCCAGGGGATGCGACATGTTATGTTACTATATACGCTATTTGCATATGAAAATTGTTATGGAAGGCGTGGGAAGCGGAACTGAACACCGACACGAAAACATAGCATACGAAGCTTGATTATCTTGATTGTTGTCAAGACATCATATATTTGGAGCAGGGGAAGATTGAAACCTAAGATTCTCTTTTATCTCTACCACTCCCTCGTCCCAGTCAGCATTGCGGGTTGAGGACGAAGTTCCTATCGGAGTATAGCATAGCCGAAAACGCAATGAAGGGGTTTGTAGGGGGATTTTGGTCATGAATCTGTCGTAGTTAGGCACTAACGTTATGGTTGTTTTTGCTTCCGTATTCGCTACCCGTCTCTTTACCATTATCCTCGGGTACAAAGTTCATTACAACGGATTCTGGCCACTGAACCAAAACACCACCCTCTCAATCTTCCCTTGGTCATCCACATCGAAAAAATTGCAAGTGAGCATATCTTTCTCTATCCCATCCACCAGTTTGCTGAGGTACCGTTGCTGCGTCGCTACTTTTCCTGCCCGCTCGTCGACAACCACAGTCTGGATCTGGTGCTCCATTTTGGCCGACCGGGAGACGAAGTCCGATAGCATGGTGTAGATAGCGTCTCGGCCTGTGAAGGTTGTGTTGGCTGCCGTGGGGATCGTGAAGGTTGCGGCTGGGGGCGAGGAGGGACATGGTCGTGGGGAGGTCGGATGCGTCGATGGAGGTGAAGTAGGTGGTTATTGTTGCTGTTAGGGAGAAGTGTGTATTTGTGTTGGTTTGAGACACTTTAGTGGGTGGGTTTCTGGAGGGGTGGTTTGGTTCAAAAGGAAGGGGCGCTTGCTTCAAGTAAGAAGAGGTGATGATGGATGCCGTTGTGGTGAGGGGCTCTCAGGTGCAGATACTCACCAGAATGATTGGCCTGGCGCCGTTCTGGGTCATACAGAGCTATGCCAGCTGCTTCGGGGCTGTAGTCACTCGGCAGCTCTGGAATATTGGTAAAGATTGCAGTACCTTCTGACTTGCTCTTCTTCTTTAACCACCAGATTCGTAATGTAAGGCTGGTTTTACCCTCAGTTATGTCACAGGGCTTGAAGGCGAGTATAGCTGTAGTATGAAGGTGATGTGCAAGTGGGTTGAACAGAACCATATTCTCTGGTCTTTCCGTAGCCAGTTTCTCAGAGAAGATAGCATTATACCATCTGCTCACTTTTTCCTTTGTCCAAAAGTCATTCAGGGCGGTCAAGAATATTCCCGTTGACTAGCGGTCTTTGTCTTTCAAAGAAAACGGATAAAGATGCGTGATGTCGCAAAATTCCACTGGTATCTTCGTTATAATGTAAGATGAATTGCGTTCCCTGCACTTCACACTTGTCAGTATAGGATTGGGAACTTGTATCGGTTCCTTACAGCTTTTTTGACTGACTCATCCCTCCTGATTCTCTTATATAGCCCTGGTGATTCCAGTGGCTCTGCTGGATGCTTCCGAGGGGTATGGACAGGTGTTGAGCATGGTGTGTCTGCGGGTGATGTTTTGGATTCTCTCTGATTACCAGAGTCTAATTGCTCTGTTCGAACCCTGAGTGTTTCTGGAGAGTGCATTGTAGTTGATTGCATCGCCGTGGCTGGGTCAGGCACACCTGGTATGGGCTGATGTTTATCCTCCATACGTTTGCAAGATGGGGAGGGGATCGTAGATGTAATTATAGACTGCGAGTCGGCATCGCGCTGGGTCCCTAAATAAATAATTAGTATCCGTTTTCTGACAATTATACGTAAGAGAACATCGTGTAGCTACATTTTTTGACAAGATTGAAGTGTTCAACAGCAATGAGGAAGTGTAGTAACTCCTCCGCTGATTTTCCTGCGATTTCTCTGAGATTCTCGAGGTCTGCAAGCCACAAGCATGCCCTTGCGGTAGGCGCTGCTAGAGAAAATTTCATCTTGTCAGATATCTGGGCAATGCGACGTCGTCTCTCAGGCTCCCCGAAGGAAGCACCCGGGCCCTGCATTATCTTTTCTGAAATCAGCAGATATGATGATGATGATGATTATAGAGATTCAGCTAAATAAGAGTAAGAATCCGTGAGATATTGAATCATGGAACCTCTAGATTTTGATGCTGAAATAGGTGACATTGTGGAATCACATGATACCCTGCTGTCACCGACACATGGCACCATCCTCATGTAAGTACAAGAAATACAACTACTCTAAAACAGTATTATCGTAGTCAATATAGCAAAATCCCAGTTCATATACCTATAGGAAGTTATATAGGTAAGGAGCCAGCTTTGAGGACCTGGTCTCTTCCTAGGATATCCCTAGAAATATGCACATTGGCGGCGACAGCACCGTGATATTCATGTTGATAATCCGGTGAGATTGAAGTAGGAATTGGCTGTATCACTGTATCTTATGATTGGATCTAGCGCGTTTCCCCGCACCGGCCGCCCGCACCTCCACATTTGGTGGTGCTAGAGTCTCGGCATTTACAGCCCCGCGCGTTTGCCGAGCTCCACATATTCCTCCTGGCTTACGTTCCGTGATCGGAGTGCGGAGACGTCGTTATTGGGGCCACTCCGTCCATGAGCTCCCTCACGCAAACAGCCAGCCCCCTGCATAGGGTAGGCCAACCTGTCCGGGACTTGATGATGCGTAAGAACTCCTGTAGGAGGCGCCTTGTTCCTCCTGCGCTTGACAGCAAACCAACACCAGTGATATGTACCAACACCCCCGGGTCACCCCGGAGCCATCGTTCTCTTATGGTCTCCTCGTCACATTGATCGATCCTGAAAATAACTGCGGGTTCACGATCCTGTAGCGATTCTTCCGGTGCCACTGGCGAGTCAGGCTTCAGTCTTTCAAAGGCCCATAAAAACATAACAGATATCAAGAGACTGAAAGGATCGTAACAAGACAAGGTGGGAGATGATCGGATCTTGCCAATTAGGGCCCCGGCATGCGAGACACATTCCCTAGAGAGCTCAGGGTTGTTTTGTAGCCAGGTGCGAAGGTAAGATCGTGCGCTGGTAATATCGTCTTCAGAGGCATACCATCCAGAATATGTATATAGTTTTTCCAGAGGTAGGTATCTTAATATAAAAAGTAAATGGAAAAATGTCTTCCTCATGTCGGAGACATTTGCGATCAAAGAGGGGGCTGCTGAACTAGGCGGCACAAGCATCTGATATCTCCAGTCCAGGCAGCCGAAGGATGATTTTTGCGGACATGATTGGTGATGTAGGTCTCCGCTGCCTAAATCATGTAGAATCCACGACCGACTTGCTGCTTGAACCCGTTGCTCTTCTGTGAACAGCATAAGGTGTTGGCAGAGATTGGAAAGGTCCGATGTCTGCGATGCCTTCAACGTTGAAACCGGGCCCACGAAGAGCTCCTTGAGACTGTGTGCTTCTGGCACATGTAGAGTTAAAAGGGCTCTCCATTCATCAGCGTTACGCGCTCTCCACAATGCCTCCGAAGAAGGAAGTATCTGCTGGTAATCCGTTGCCGTGAAGGTCATTGGCATCCCAAGAAAAATGAAGCAAAAGCTGTCGACCACTTTCACGGAGATATGTAAGCTTGCGACAAAAGAACAGGGAGGACTGACAGTCTGACCAGCGTGTCTAATGACCTAAGAAACAGTATGCCAGTCTCCTTTCCGTCTCAGAACGAATCCACATACTCCATCGGTCGCTGGGGATATCATAGTTGACTTCTTGGCATAGTAAAGAACTTTGACGTTTGGATGAGGTAAGGAAAGGTCGTACCAAAGCTGCAAGCCAGGCTCGTTGAACTTGTAAGTTGATCACATTGTCTTTAAACCCAGTGAACATAAGATTGACCATGGCAAGCAACGAGCACTGGGCCAAGACTCTGGTATCATAACCCCTTGCTTTGTGGGCCTGTAGCCCTGTTAGCAGATTGCTGTTGGGGTTCCTCCCTGAATGTGGGGGTTCAAGGCGTACATCAAGAGGCAGTGACAGTCGCAGGAGCTCTGTGAGCATTGTGGAATACTGCTCCCGTTTGGACAACTGTGTATACTGGCTTCCGACAGATGCAACAGCCAGGACGAGAAGCCACGGGGTGTCCCGATGTTCTAGTATGGATCGATGAATGAAGCTCAGTTTACAGTCGAAGTACTCGTAATATAACTGTATGAAGGACTCGAATGCTGATTGACTGGGAAATGGGACCTCCTTGAAACCTACGTCCAGCTGTCTGCTTGAGAACTCAAGAATGGCCCGGTAAGGCCTGTCCATGGGTACTCTGACATGACAAAAGTTCTCAGCTATGATCGTATCTTCATCTGTTGCATCCGCAGTCGACGGTCGGCTTGGGTTCTGGACACGAGGGGGTTGATGCTCTTGTGGGTCAGAAAAGTTCATAATATCGCGATTATATCTCTGGTCATTGCAGGGGTGGAGTTTGATGCAAGTGGTGAAAATGGAAATTGAGTGGCTGGATCAAACTGGTCACCCGGCGGATCATCCTGGAAGATGTTGGTATAGTCAAGCATCCACGGGAAGCTGAAATCTGTATCAGATATCCTGGGAGTTCTATTGCCAACAGCTAAGACGTCGATCATATCTTCTTGGCCGCTCGGCATAGGAACTGGGTTCAATCGAACATTAGGCGGCGCGTTGCCCAGCTCTGCAGTATCGCTGCCGGTGATACTATGGTCCCTAATAGGGGTGGTCTCGTCTGGGATTGCGGAGGAAGGACTGCGTATCTGACCGAAGCTTCGATAAACACAGTTGCGACCCTTGCTCTGGCACCGGCCACATGGGTCACCACCGTTGCATTTCAGCTTGGCCCGGGCACAGGGTAAGCAGGCGCTGGCCGATCTGGCACGTACAAACAACCCCTCAGCCCTAGCACCATGTGTTGTGATATGTCGAGCAAGAGTATCTCTACATTTTGGCATCAAGTCAGATTTATCCTCCATCACCGCTATGGTCAATCGTCGACTTACCGTCTGGAAAAGGAGCGAGAACATAATGGACAGGGAAAAGGGCGAATCCCGGAATGCCGGCGAAGGTGACGCTCAAGGTGCTCCCTACGACTGAATCGCTGATGACAAGTCTCACACACAAGGTCCATTTTCAAATGGATGCTGGGCAGAAATGGGGTAGGGCGGAGGAGTAATTGTGGGGGAACTGAGGCGGCACATGATTGAAGAAGGATCGGCAAAGACATACAATGAATTACATAAAAATGGCGAGTTAGATTTACGCCTTTTCAATCACTACGTTCCCCAATTGGACAGTCTCAAATGCATATACCGCCGCGCTTCATATAGTTCCCACTTTCTGTTGTGTTCGAAGAGTTTGTAGTGACAATCACAAAAGTGTCGCATTACAAGTATTAATAGTACACGACATCCTCAGTTCCGTTCTTAATATTCAGAGCGTTGTCATTTGCAATGAAGGCGAAAGTACAACATGGTATTAAATGAAAACAAAGCCAGCTACCAGTTAAGCTTCTCATTTCCACTCCCGAAAAACGGCCGCAGAAGAAGGGAAATGACGGGAAGAAACAACCTGTCAATGATGGTGACCAGTCTCCCCAAAATTCCGTCAAAGTCAATAGTCTGCGGTTAGTTATCAATAATGCTGTCTGCGTGGCTTTAATCTTTGAGCCTATATCTGGACTTACTGGTACTGAAGTTCCTCCGCTCTTGCGCACCCAACGAAAAGTCCGCTGCATCATTTCAGATTCATACCTGGCACAGCGCGTTGATATGTCTTCTATTGTAGGAGCCTTGCCACTTGCAGCGATTCCATTCAACTGGAGGAGATACGGCAAGAGCTCGGCGCAATCATGCATTGCTTGGTTACCACCCTGACCCCTGTTATTGTATGAAAGTGAGAATGTCATCCGCTGCCTCTTGGAATGAGGCAATTCAAACTATACCGGTTTGGTTGCATGGCGTGAATAGCGTCACCGAGAAGCCACACTCGCGGATGACCTTTACCGTGCCCCATCTCTCCTGGCCCAGTCTGGACAGCTTTCCTCCAATGTTTGGCTGGCTGGAAGCTCGCACGTAGGGGAATTATAGTGATACCGGATGAGTCATCGTCTTCTTGGCCGATAGCGATTAAGCCTTTCCTGTTGATTTGAAAAAATAGTCCAGCCGATTAGCCCGCTCTGGTCTGTAGACCTGTCCCCCAACCCTCAAGTCAAAAAGCAAGAAGCTTGGACTCACAGTTCGGGCGCCCAGTCCTGGATGATATCCTGGCAAAACTGGAGACGATCGGGGATTTCTGCAGAGTCTGTGTATTTCGGAACACAAGACTTAGGGACGTTTAAGCCCCAATAAAATGAAGCTTCAACATCGTCGTATGTTAATGACCCAGCATCAAATTTGCTCTCATGCTTATTTGGCAAGTATACTGCGTTCAGGATCATGTCAGCATGAGTACCTCGCCCCTGAAAGTAGAAAGCACACACGGGCGTAGAAGAAGGAAACTCCATTCGCAAAAACCAGGATGGGCCCTTTTTGCAGCTGAACAGGGAGCTTATCCAGCCGATCCTTGGGGACGCTACCCTTGGATAGAAAGGACCAGTGGGTATCAAGCTGGACCAAATTGTTCACCCCCAATGCAGCGTTGACTCGCGAGCTACTTCCGTCGGCCCCGATCAGAATATCGCAATCATCAGAAGTGCCGTCGGTGAACGAGACTTTGACCTTCTCGCTCCCGGTTGATGGGTCTCCGATGATCTCGTGACTGGAGAATGACTTTCCGTACTTAACCTTCCCAACCTGCATCAGGGGTTCAATAAGCAAATCACGTAATACAACACGATTGATTGCAAAGGATCGGGAATAGGTCGGCAACCGCGTCAAATCGAGAACTGGCTTGAACTGAGTGGTGTACAGACACGGAGCGGTAGGTCCCAGAGTAGCCGAACGTCCAAACTTCTGAATAATAGCTTCTGCAAGCTGCTCAGATAGACATGCATTGAATCCCCTTACTGCTGAATCCCCCAAGCGGATCTGATAACCTTCTCGTTTGGAGTTCACTGCATCTCGCTCATAGACCGTGAAAGCGACCTTGTTGTTCAGTAGCCCGTTAGCAAGGAGTGCGCCCGCAAGACCTGCACCGATTATAATAACTTTGAAAGGCGGTGACTCGGGCATTATCAAAACCGTCAAATCTGACAAGTGTACGCGGTCTGATCAATTCAACAATAGTCATGGGACTTCGGCGATGACCTTCTTAAAGCCGTCACTTGTCAGACTCAACTGGCTCTGGTACTTGACATTCACGCATCTCAAGGTTTAGGTACTACTCCATTTCCTACCCGTGCCCATCCAATCCGAGCTTGGCCCCAGCCTCGAATCATCCAGGTTTGCGGGGAGCCGATGATGTTTCCCCATACCCGACGGTGGGGCTGCCGAACCTCTGGAAGACAGGTTCTGCTTTTCGATTCAATTCTCCTTTCTCTGTAGTGTTCATCAACCGTCCCAATGCTCTCGTGTCAGCTGGGTTATTGTTTGACTGAGCGGGTAGCCAACGTACCGGCAACTTCTATCCCCCACAGTCGGCTATTGCGGGTCCGCGAGCAAACAGGTTGACAACAGACTCGAGAACTAGACCCGATAGGTCCTTGTTTCGTATATTGGCAAGCTTACTGCTCTTCTGAAAGCCGAACATGGCTGGAAAGCGCAGAACATATTCCATTCTTAGTGCTGGGGCTCGCTTTGGCGCCTGCCGCTCGATCTATTACAACTTGGTGGTCGCGAGGTTTCCTTACCGCCTCCTCTATCAAAGCTGTGACATGTTTTCAAATTGTTGGGGATTCCTCACAGGATTTTGTCTAATGCTCAATTTCTGCTCTCTCTCTACCCGCAGCAAAGCCTGTACATGTAAACCGCAAACACCACAGAGAGTGGCACTATTCCCGACGTGTGAGAGTTGCCATGTAGGCAATTGTTTATTATTCCTTTCAAAGTACAATCGATACGGTACTATTCATGTAGTCCAGCCCTGCAAGATTTGGTAACGAGGTCCTGTACCAGGTGGCTTCCCATCATCGGCACTCCGCAACCCAGCCCCGCTTTCTCTGTGACTTAAAGCTTGACAGCTATTTTCAATCCGAGCCTGGTTGGAGTCCCAGATATGGCGGCATTTGGAGTGAAGATGCAAAACAAGGAGACACTCGAGTACTTTGGTACGTCGCCTTCAATTTGACATCCAGGCGTCCTTTTTCTCATCGTGGACAGGTGCGACAACCTTCCTGCTCCGAATCGCAGGTCTTACGATCTTTCATGATACATGGCTTAGCCGACCTTCATTGCTACCTCAATTCCTTAACATTCATGATGTAACGGAAGCAGATTACATCCTAATCTCTCACGCCCATTTTGACCAGTACTTCCTCCATCCCCACATACCAACAGCAGATAAGAATATTTGTTCCTGTCCCATACGGCCATACTAACACCAACGCAGCCTTCCAGGTGCTGACGTAGTTGCTAAACGCACCGGCGCAATAATCATAGCAAACTGTGAAGCCATCAACCGTCTTCGTGATGCTGGAGTCCCAGACAGCCAACTCCTGCCAGTCTCTGGTGGTGAGCGTATCCCCCTTTTCACGCGAGAGGTCCGTCATGCGGTGCATAGTCGTACCATCCCCCTCCGCCAAGGAGGACCGCCCACTGCACCCCCTGAGCCACACCACTCACTTGCGGTAGCAGAAGTGCATATCTGGCCAAGTCTACACTGTCTCCTCCCAGGCAGTCACGACACACTCCCGGATGTTCTGGATACCGGTGTTTCGTACGAGGGGGAGGCGACACCCTTTGACGGGACACTGGACATCACCCGGGGGATGAAGTATGGGCTGTTTAAGCTGAGGCAGCTGGTACCTGCTGAGGCCATTACGGCCGATGCTAAGCTACGATGTTTCATTGAGTGGCTTGAGAATCGAGGGCCAGGTGGGAGCAATGTCATGTCCGCTTGTGATGGAGGCCAACTTATGTATCATGTTCAAAAAAGAGGAGAAGATGCCAGTCGCGGCGCAGGAATCTGGAGAGGAGGAGTTCTGTTTAATGCGCACCTCGGTGCCTACGAGGGGATCGTGAAGGCCATACGACCACAGCCGAGCCTTGTGGTGCAGGGTATTGCGGGGAGAGCGAATCTGAATGGTAGGCCCTTCAACGGGTCCGCTGCGGGGTTTGCGGTGGAGTTGATGAAATGGCTGGGGGAGCCAGAAAAGGTGATTTGGTGCCTACACGATGAATGGTGAGCTTTTCCCTCATCACCTACTGATCTGGTACTAAGCCTAACTGCAACTAGTCTTATTAAACCATATATGGTTGATACAACGGCTGCGAGCGCGGCAGTGAAGTCGGGGACGAAATCGCAGGTGGTGGATCTATTGCCTGGGGCGCGCCATATACTATCTTAGCAGTTGGCAGGTAATTCACCTGATACCCTATGTTACCATGAAGTATTCCCATCAGGCAGTATTACGCACAACAACAATTCAGACTTGCCTGTCCGATCAACATGTTTTACTCAAGATCTTGATGCTGCACTATCATTCGCAGTCTTTACACTCCGTAGATTTCCCGTGTCTAGATGAAAGTTGGCGTTTGGACAGTTGTCTCCCCGTCAAAAACCTTCAAATTCTCTCTGGCCATAATTGCTTCCTGCCGGATAATTCCTACACAAGCCTCGCTCCGCGGGATGAAGCGAGCACCAAAAGGCTCCGGCCGTATATTCTCCGACTCGGTGAATGCAAAGATATCCAGTTTTTCCTCTTGTCCCTGGAAATATGGTTTCTCAGAGAACCTAAAGATTACAATGATTAATCATATTTAAATAAAGCCTGTATATTTACAAGAACTAATAAATCTAAAAAAGAAAGAAAAACTATCTATTTTCTGGAAATTAAACTATTTTATATATCTTTAAAAATTAATTCTCTTTTAGTAAATTTTATTTTTTTTCTATTAATCTTCTACTAACTTCTTATCTGTCTTTTAGTTTTTTTCTTTTATTCTTTAACTGGTTCCTGTCTTGCCTCTGGTAAATCCTATATTTTAATTATTATTTTTAAAAATTATTATCAGTTACTTTTTAGATTCTAGTAGGGAAATCATCACAACTGGACAACGGTCAAATGATATTTAATAAGTTTCTAAATAGTATCATTTGATAGGGCTTTCTACGAGGAATACAGTGATATAATTCTTATTTCTTTATTTAATTATTCTGTGGAATTATAAGTATTTAAAGATAGTAGTATATATTTCTAAATTTAATTAGTATATATAACAGAAATTTAATAAAGTTAATATATATAACAGGAATTTAAATCAGATTAATATATTTTTCCACAGGCATTAAGTCTAATTAAGAAGTGTATTAAATATTATAAAAATAAATATTACAGTAATAAATATTACTCTAATAAATATTATATTTATAAGTATTACTTTAATAAGTATTATATAAATTGATGTATTAATATACTTATAAATTTTAAGAAGACTAATCTACAATCTAAGAATTGCGGTTTGCTATTTCACTGCCATTTTCAGCGGCAAGTACCGCCGAAAATGGCCGCCTTTCAGCAACATCCCTCTGCCACACTCCCATCTCCTTTAACCACGCACCAGCTCATTCACCGCTTCTGCCTTAGACTGCCATCATGTGGGCGCTTACATCTTGGCTTCCTGAGGGCTCATTCATCACTTCACCGTCACTCATTACACCCCTACAAGGGCACCGAAAATGGCCTCCTTCACCCCGCCCGCTGCACTCTGGCCAGTACCCAGCCGTCATGGCTATAAATATATCTCCCCAACCGTCTTCCATCCAACATTCTCTCCTCTTTCTGACTCAACCACCATCCCGGAGCTCTCTCTCTCCTTATGCCTCTGTGCTATCTATTCAGTTGTACATTAAAGTGTCTCAAGTCCTTTAGTAGTTCCTTTCTACAGTTAGCATAATCTCCTGACCATGCATTGTTGTTGGAGGCCTAATATTAGTAATTATTAAATCATAAGTAATTTCTCTTGTACCTCTCCTATTAATACTGATAGTAATAAACTATTTAAGCCTGACTTTTCTAAGACAGATCTTACTAAGCCAGAGTATTTTTCTGCAGTTAGTTGAAATATTACTGGGAAGAATTCAAGTCCAAGTACTGAGATAAAACTGGTATAATTAGATATATTAAATATGGAATATGTCTATCAGGCCCTATATTAATTTTTAGATAATAATATAGATAAGGACCTGGTTCAGGTACTGGAGGATTATAACTGATTTAATAATATAAAGAAGCTGAGATTTTGACTGAAAGAGTGTTGGGCTTGGTAAGTGATTATAATCTTATTAAAAGATTATAGTAAGGTATTATTAACTAATTGATATGTCTTATCTTAGGTTCTGCTAAATTAAAGTAAAGGAGTGGTGTACTGATCTAAAATAAAAGAATATAAAGAATATATTATATAAGATATTTTTAAATGATATATATTAATTTCTTAATTAGTGTCTGAAGCTAGAGTATAGTTTGAATAGTTACTGTCAGAAAGATTATATAAAGACTAGCGCCCTGGAGGCGGATTAGAAATATTCTTAAATTTATTATATATGGATTACTAAACATGAGATGAGTAAAAAGATGGGTGAGGTAGTTTATATAGTTTATTTTTTTAATTTTCCTATTATTTTAATAAGGCTTATTTTAATGAGAACAGACAGGGTATAAGGTACTTGGTTAATAAGTATGGTTTTAATAAATAATTACAGGCAAGTATTTCAGTGTATATTGAAGATATGGTCCCATTTAATAAGATAATTTTTTAAATCCGGGAAAAGCGATTTTATCTGGGGTTTTAATGGATTATTTTATGTTTATATAATATTATTGGGCTATTTACTGTTAACCGGAAATAGGTAATACTTTATCTTTAATTTAAGTATTTATAATTATTACTCCAGTAAGATCTGCGCGGAGAATCTCTGGTACTGATAGTAGAACTCAAGTCCCAGTTTGTGAAAAGTGTCCTGGGCATGTTAAAGCTGTAGGTGCCACCTAGTGTTATATATTTATTTATTACATGGCTTATCCGTCTTAATTAGACTGACTAGTTAATTAAAAACATGTTTTTACTATCTGAAATTATTTATAATATATTACTTATCTTCAGCCTGCATGTCCTGCTCTTCAGTATATTATTTTATATTTATATATTTAAAGTACCTTACTTGATTTTAATAAAAGATTTATAAAGGCTACTTATTAAGGATGGCTGACAGAAAATATTATTTCTTTTAAGAAAAAAGATAGATAATTATTATATTTTCCTGAAGATTAATGTGATCTGTGGTCAGCCGTGTATTTTATAGAAGATATCTATAAATAGAAGTATATTTAATATATAGCTCAGAATATCCAGTGAGATATATAGTTTTCTTAATCATTTTTTCTCTTACTAATTCTGATATGGAGGAGGTGATTTGCTTGATAAGAGTAGTAAGTAAATTATAAATCTCTAAAGTTCTCTTCTCTTAATAGTAGGTAGATTAAGTCTTTTATCCAGATTTTATTAGTAAAATATAATATAATATAATCATAGTCTATGCCACTAGCAGAATATTCATTAAATATTATTATTTCTGTTGATATACTGGCTTACAGGAGATTATATACAGTCTTAATTTTAATAAGGAGTTTTTAAAGACTGTGACCTGGATAAATTATTAAATTAATTAGTAGTAACTATGATACTTGAGTGATGCTGATCAGGAATCAGTAGAAAAGGACCTAGAACTGTAATTAATTATATATTAGTAATTTAAGCTAGATTTTTAATATGGCAGCCGCTCTTATGAGCTAGTATTATAAGTAATATTAGAAGACTAGAAGTATAAAATCTATAATCTGTGTCGGTGTCTGCAGGAAAAATGGTGGAAGGAAATATAATATGATTTTAGTTAAAAGCAGGCAGTAATTGATATTAAATAATAGTTAACTAGTAGAGCTGTCAGTGATAAGCCCGCATATAAAATATTATAAAAAGAGTTTATAATGCTACCAGAGCAGATTCTTTATGTAGAGATCTTCTTTACTTGGCCTATTACTGATTTATTAGAGGATGAATAGACATGATGTAATAAAGTTATTGCTGCTGGAATATAATATTATAGTTTTTAAAAAGATAGGTTTCTTCGAGGATGACAGAAGCACTCTGTACTGTCTGATAATGATGATGTAGTTTTATCTCTGTTAGTTTGAAAGATAAAGACTGATGTACTGTTAACTGCGTTATTAGAGAAGGAATATATTTCTGGTAGGAAAGATATTCTGAATATAGAATAAATATTTATATGCTTCTAATGTTCTAAGGCATATTCTGATTATAATGGAGTGAAGAGGCATTTTAAATTATTATATTTAATGGACAGGAAATGCAATTTTTGTGATCTGTCTGTCCTGCATGAGATGTACTTGTGAAGGCATGCTGGGGATGTACATGGCCTTTGAATGTGAGTGTCGGGTTCTACTGATCTAATGCTCGAAGCCCTTGCCTATTTTAATTACGTGTTTATTTCTTAAACTTAATTGGTGAAGGTATCGTTGGATTGGTTGCTGTTTCATTAGAGAGTACTCTACTCGTCGCGATTATCTAGAGCCTTCGCAATAGATTGTACTTGTTTCTTAGATGTCCAGTCGTCATATGTCTGAGAACCAATCCTTGGCATGGACGCATGTTTTTGTTGGTTTGAATTTTTGCGCAGGAATTTGGAACAGCCTGGAAAGTTTGAGAGTATTTTATTATTTGAGGCAGCTAATGCTATATTGCTCCATTTCTTGATCCCGCGACCGGGCTTTGATATGTTCTCCAGAGTACTTTGATTCCTGCATAAGACGGATAAGTTCTGAGGAGGGTAGAGTCTAGGTAATTGTGGGGGGGGGGGGGGGGGGGGGTGTCCACTCATGGTAACTCAAATTAAGCCCGCCCCCTCCCCCCCAAGAGCTGAACTGTATGCTCGAAATAGGTCTTAGTTTGACCATGGCGGTTTACTGAACAGACCACGCAAGAAAATTTCAGCCTTATTCACGTGCACTTTTAACTTCATGTCCGATTGCTAGGAACCTGCGAGTTTCCAGTCGCAGCGAAACTTCTCATCGATGACGGAATATCGATTTTGGACTAGCGCTACTCTGATTAACCAAAATATGGACGCCAATCAAGTGGAAGTGCTCCAGATACGTCCAGACCAGATTGTTAAAACATCTCACGAAAATTTAGTCAACCTGGAAGAAGCGTACCTCGGCCATAGATCGATAGTCATCGCATATGACAGCTACGGTATCTCGCTTGAGGAGATTCGTCGAGCATCCAACATATTTTTCAATGATGCAAGTGCAGTAGCGTGTATCTGCCGGGAGGTATGTACCTGCTTGCCCTGTCTTTCTTATTACAATAATGAGCATACGCTCACATCTGACCAGCTTCTCAAGGGGCTCAAATACATACATGATGAAGTTGGCATCACACATGGCAATCTATCGTGCTGTACAGTTGTCCTGACAGACAGAGGACAAGTGAAGATCAGTAAGTCATGCTACTTTGATGTAATTTGAGCCCAACCTAACCTGGAAACTGCTTGGAAAGCCGACGTTGGAGATGGCATGGTCCGCGGCCGAGGTACCGACGACAGAACTATGGACAACCGCGCCGTGGGCCAGATCGCAGCTACGCTGTTGAGGCTCGATTGCTTAGAAGAGGATCTATCTGGACCGCACCTTGAAGCCGAGAGCTTCATACATGTCTCGTCAATTGCAACGGTGGATGAGTTACTCAATGTTAGATGTCTGAATGAACTCAAGAGAAGAATTCAAGCTAATCCAGAGATATTAGCATCGCTTCCTCCAGGCGGGGTTCGAACCTTGGTGCCTGCAGTCCCTCGCTATCTTGTCAAAAGTCATACGTTTTACGGTTTGAGGGTCTATCTGTTCTTCTGAGAGCATACGTATATCTAAATATCTGGGTTTACTCGAAATTCCAAGACTATCACTAAAAGTAGCCAATGGTTAAATGATTTTGACACCATACTGGATTGATCAAGACCTAGCAGCTAAGAATGGCTTTATGGTAGACTATGCCAACTTGTTCCGGAGTCACGTATGCTAAGACGAGATCTTACGAATCGGATGAATTCTGAAAGAAACTCAAATATGATTTGAATATACTTAGATGAAGCATTTCTCTGCAAGTATTCTGGAATTAGTACAACCAACTGAGTTTTGGGTTCTATGACAATCATTTAAAGCAGGATTTTCTTTGCCACCTGAAGATCTTTGATCTTTTTCAATAACTGACGTCGTTTTCGCTGAAGCGATGCTTCCTCTCCTGCAATCTCCTCAAGCTCGTCTTCAGTGAGACTGTTGACGAAGGAAGGAGACAACAATCTCATCGGGGTTTCTGGTCCATTCACCAAATAATAACCTGCGGCCTGCATACATACATTGTCAACAAACCGCTTCCGAGCCACTTTATAATAGGACTGGAGAATGTCATGAAGATCTTGTACGGTATGTGCGGTATTGCTCATATTTTTTGAGGGGCTCAGATCCTCCACTCGCACAACTTTTCCGTGCGAACAGCCGCTAATCGTCTTTTCCCCTATCACGGAGCTCGTGCGTTTCTGTCGACTGTGCGAAGTTAGATATGTCATTAGTGATAAAGGGTCGGAACGACGATACCATTTCTCTAGAGTGTCATTCAGATAATGATTCAATGTCATTGGCGTGTTTGAGCACTCATTGAACAGAAGAAATTGGACTTGGTTGATTGCGTTCTGGTATTTCCCTAGAAGCTTATCCATGATCCTCGACAGCAGGTTGTGACATACCCTGGTGTCAGCGCAGGCTAAATTCAAAGCCCTGAGAATAAACCCATGAACCATGGTGATAATATCACCAATATACCCAGTCGCGATGGGTGTCCATTTTGTTGACTGCTTTTTCATAATCGTTGGGAGAAGCGCAGAGTTGAAGGTTCCAATCTCGAATCCTCGTGAAGTTCGGTATTGACGTTCTATCCATGAGCGTATGTCATTGCGAACGGGCTGTGCAACTTCGACTGCCTGCGGAAGAATGTCCTCGATCCCAGATATATCCTCAAGCATTCGTGTTGCCAAAGAGCCTTTTGTGGGATTATCAATGGAGATATCAACTCTAAGATCGTCCAATTCCTGCGAGTCATCGGTCTCAAATTCATACTCGTGGCCCCATCGAGCCATGTTGTCGGAGAACATCTCATTCCTATTGACAACTCTGGTGGCCAGACGAAGAACCTCCTCTTGATCAAAATCATCCCGGAAGCTATAATTTGAGCCGAGCGCATGAGATGTGATTTCCTGGAACGATGATACTATTCCAAAAAGGAAACTGGCTTGCTGCTCCGGGGTTTCTCGATCTGCTCCAAGAGCCTGCAGGGCATCTTGACATTCTCGTAGTTTCTTGCTTATCTCAGATCGTACCTAATATCCATTTGTCAGCTGTAGAATGATAGCAATGGCTCCGGATGTACTGACAGATGGAAAAGATCGTCGTGCGTTTGCAGTTACTGTCTCTTGAAGGTGAGTACGCAACGCCTTGATACCAAACTTGTCTCGCGGGACGGTATCCCAGGGGCGTCGGGAAAGAAGCTCCGCTTCCAATACATTCCGATCCACATCGCCTTCTTCGAGCTCCTTTTGTCCTAGGTTTCTTACGATAATCCATCCCAGCTTCATCTGCATCTCTCTTCCCTCAACAAGGTCAATGACTTTACCCTCTCCGCCTTTGTCGACTAGATCTGGCTTGGTGATAACGCCAAGTGTCCTATCACCATCCGGATCAAACTCACGAGCCATTTCAACAATTTCTTGAGTCGCAATATCAACATTTGCTGGTACAACTGTGAGCATTATCGACCGAGGGTTCCTCATATATCCCTGAACCATGTCTCGGACCAAAACCTTGTCATTTCTTGTCGTCAATCCCGGTGTCGCGTTCCGGAAGATACCAGGCACATCGATCACACTGAGATGATCCTCCTTTGGACCGCAAATCTCCAGTCTCAGGACGCTACTTGAGAAGGTAGGCAAACCGTCGTCTTTCGATATCGAGAGCCCCATCACCGTGTGAACCTAAGAGTCGGTATTAGATAGGCATTTCCCGTCAAAGTGCTAACCTACTTCTGCCATAGTCCTTGAGAATGATTCTACAGCCAGGAACTGTATATTATCTGCCTTCCAGTTTTTCAACTGGGACGCATGTGTAGTTTCCACATCGGATCCAGGAATGATGGATGCGGTAATTCTTCTTTCATCGTCCTCGGTCCGACGAAATATAATTTGCGTGGCAAATCGTGTACACAGACCGCTATCTCGGGGGAAAGCCAGCCTAGTAAGCCCTTCAAGAACTGAGCTCTTGCCACTCGATTGATCTCCGACCACAACCAGCTGAGGAAGATTGATATAGTCGCCCACATTGCATGCGAAGAGTTTGTCGATTTTCTCTAGCAAATGTGGGTCTGCAAGCGCCTGGTCGTCTTTAATAGCATGTATAGTCATGATGTGCCCCGAAGAGAAATGTCAAGAATAATGGTATAATGGACAGAGATCTCTGGTTTCCTTTGGTTCTTTATACTAGCGCCAGAGTTATTACACTGTCAGCCATCGAGGGAGCTGCATTCCTGACAATCATTTCTCTGCAAAAGAATGAAGGGAACACAACCCCCGTGTTGATCCCAGACTAGGTATTTTGGTCCAAAACCCAAAGTCGTAGTACGCGCGTCCTGAATGAAAGCCACAGTTATGAAGAACCAACACAAATGCTCATTTATTTCAAGTGTCGTTGAGAAAGGAGGTCTTCTCAGTGCCCACTACTATGGGGTTGACTATGATTTGCTACAACTATTCTCTCATCCCATTGCTTGGATAATTTTGGCGAATTCGGTCGCCTAGACAACTTGACCGTAATTTTAGCTGTACAGCCTTTCTGATCCATCCTGCAATCAGAATATGGATGGGGTACATTATGAAATTGTTTCCATTTAGTCATCATCAACACAATCCACTACTATAAAGTGCTATTTAATATGGGATACAGGTGCGCCGCTCGCCCGGGAAATAGGTTATTGGGTACGGGTCGATGAGGTTCTAATTCGTTGTAAGGTGATCCAAGTTTTTCAGTTCGAACAATTGTTATTTAGTTTAAACAGCCGCTTTCTGACTTATAAAAATCAAATACAAGATATTGAAGGGATTTTAGATTTTATAGAAATATTTCCTGGTCCCAGTATCAGGAGAGCTGACCGCTCGGTCAGCATGGATAGAGTTATTTTTTTATGGAGTGTTGAACCTCAAGCAAACGAAATAATTCAGTCATTTTTATTCTTACCAAACGAGAGACCCGAGCCCCCCCCCAAAATTTTCTTAGCGAAACTGGAAGGCAGTGTATATTACCAATGCTCAGAATTATGGACAGATTGTCTGGAGAAAGAAATTTCCTAATTACCCAGTTGATCCTTGGCCCAACCATACCAAACCGAAACATCACAAAGTAAACAGACACATCATCGAGATTTCTTCATCTTCATCTTTATCTGCAGTGTGGAGCATTGTTGGAGGATCCAGGCGTGAATTCAATGAGTAGTATCTATCTTCACACCGGCGTAGAAATCTTCCTAGGATCCTCCTCTTTTCTTCATCCACCAAGATTTGTACATTCCTTGGCTGATATTTTGGCAACTCTCGTAGGACACCTCGAGTTTGAAGAGAAACTTTCCGATATTTGCACCTGTTGCATGGTTCAATGCGAGTGAGTTTCAGAAAGGTGTTAGCTTTGAAAGAACAAACGATGGCTGATTTCGGAATATTGTCCCATACAAGATGCTGAGCAACAGTGGGACAGCCGAGCTCATATTTCGCTGCGTCTATCGCTGCGGTTCTATTGATTGTTAGATCATATATCATATCGAAAGCAAAAGTACCGGGAGACAAACGCTATCATCGTTTTGCCCGAGCCAACTAACGAACAGTTGCACATCAGTATTTTATTCAAGGCATGTATATGGAAAGCAGGCTTACTCTTCCCCGAGCACCACAAACTGGAAACTCTCTTCTCAGTGAACCACGCTTTGAAATCCGGGTGATCAAGGAACCAGTGTGTGGTGCCGGTCAGTCGTTTCCTAGTGAGTCTTTGATGGATTCTCTCGTGCTCATAATTTGAAATCCGCTCGAGTAGTCCCGCACCTTCTTGGCCATCTACAACCCATCAGTTGGCGCTCCCTGAAAACTACTAACACACTCACAATTTCGAACTATTTCACTATTGGGAAGCTTCATAGATGGTGGCTTTTCTCTGCAGTAGGACACTAGAGTTTGTTAGATAAACATGACTCGTTATGTAACTCGAGCAAACAACATACCGTCGGAAATTGAGCCTGCTGGTAGAGTGTCCACCACGTGGCTTGCATGGACTACGGAGAGAAGCTCTTTGCCATAACCAGCTGCCGCCGCTGCTGCGTATTCTTGCCACTGCTTGTTTTTATGTGAGTCGGAATAGTCGCAGATCCCTCGAATCACGAGGCAAGGGAAGTTGTCCATCAAGCCAGCCGCCTCCATTTCAAAGCAGAGGATGTCAAGCTCCCGGGCCAGCTTATCTCTGCTGTGGCCGTGCTTCACCACTTGGTTGCCAGAGGCAATCAGACCGTAATGGATAACCGGATCATGGCTAGCTCGAGTAGGTCGTGTTACGAGTCTCCCTGCATCGCAGTTGTTGCAAGTATCTCCTTAGTTGGTATGATCATATTCAGAATCAAACAATTGATCCTGATCATCACCGCGATATGCGAACTTCTCCCTCATCCTGGGGTTCCTGTCTACCGCCTCTGAAAGAAGAGCAGGAATTCTGCTTGGTCCCAACTCATGCTCTGCTTGTAGTCTCGAGACCGCTGTTAAGAGCACTGGTGGTGGTGGCTTATTCAGTACGCCAGTCCGTTCAAAGCGGCCACCAGTCACTGTTTTCCCATAATCGTACTGTATGACCCCTCCTGAGTCCCTTGTCGGCTTGCTAACCACCACATCACCCAGCCGAATATCAACCTTTCCGGTTGGGACCCCCCCTCCGATATCTATCATGAGGCCGAAGCGTATCGATTCGAAAGTGGACTGCATTTGTGTAGCCACTGTTGCGGCGGAGGTTGTACCGTAAACACCCGATGGAAGGCAAGCAATAGCCACATTATGGCCGTATATCCGACCTAGAATGTATGTGTTACCATCGTTCGGCCTCGCGGGTAAATCGTAGTGTCTCTCGTCCAGCATGGCCGCAGCCGCGGCCATCTCCAAGGGAAGGGCACAGATCCATGCGACCGTATAATCCTGATGGCGAAAACTTCCCGCTGCCGTGGCCATTTGGATTTATGCAGATAACTGTTGTCGTTTCCAGCGGTGGTAATAAATTCTGTGATGGATGGTAAGGTTGGCCAGGCCTCCAGGGGCCCGTCTCTGTGATGATAAAATGAATAATAAGGGACACGGCATAAAAGCCTATTTTCTGTGTAGGCATGTACGATGGTGACACAATAATCTGACTTTAGGTTCGAAATCAAAGGTTGAGTTTTTCATCGACTGTAGTAGTTGGTACTCCATCTAAGAGTCGAACTATGAGAAGACAGTAGGCTCCAAGTTAATCCATTCTCTGCAACTAATGAGTATTCTCGTCTAGCACATCATATGAATGAGAGAGCACAAATGAGGGAAACATTCTGGAATCTGAAGTACAATCCAGCCATAAGCTTCTAGCCAGGAAGTAAGGTTCCCCTATTATCACGTTCAAAGAATCACGATCACAAGATCCTGCGCAGTAGTTCCTTGAGAAAGCCGTCTGCTTTGGCCGCTTGCTTTGGGAATATCTTTTCGGTGTCTTTGGTGTACTTCCTGAGCGCAGCTTGGTTAGGAAACCTTTGAACCGCCGCTCCTGTGCGGCGAGAATCGATCAGATCAAATATGTTGACATGCACTTTAGCAAGAGCCTTTATTATTCAGTTCCATATGTTTGGGTAGTTTATAATTTGAGATGAGGAGAAACACACCTTTCGACACTGTGTGACGCTAGTTAGAGGCCCCTCGACCCGCAACTCCTGACAAAGAGCTCGGTAGTTTTGAAGTTTATTGCCAATATGATAATAACGTTCAAACTCAGTGCTTGCGAATTTGACCCTTTCTTTTCTGTACTTTTTGGAGCCAGTAGTCCAATTCATATGATATGCTAGACGAGAAAATTCCTCAGTTGCAGAGAGAGACGGGTTAGGCTGGAAGCCTGGAAAACGAGAGAAAGCATCCTCCATTTCTTCATAAGTACAGTAGGGGGAATCGGTTGTGGGGCTTAGAGCGAGTGTTTACTCAGTAGGGACATAGGACCCACTTAAATACAGCTTGAGATTTTTGTTCTGCCTCTCCATTGTGATAACGAGGTAAGCTGGAGGGTGGCTTTGGAATTCGTATGGCTGCTTTACTTGGTATCTTTGTATACTCCCCAAAGAGGAAAGGAGGAGACCAGTGATTGGTAACCCCGCACCTTGTTACGTGGCCATCTACCTTTGACCCATGCAAAGCTGACATTTCCTCTCGCGGCGCCTGCCAACCGTTGAATCCCATGGGAAATTATTACATCACTCCCTTTTGCACCAGTAGTTCGTGTTAAAGCTGTTGAGTTGCCAACAATAATTCTCCAGCCTAATTATGCAATGAGCCCAAGGCAGACAATAACATGACTGCATTATTGCAAATACACGAACCAATCAAATATTGCAACGAAATAATCACTGGTGACACAGCCTCAAGGCTTGACGAGGCTGATAATTCTTGACATTTATATTCAATCTAGAGTCCTTACGAATCCCCCTCATCAAGAACAATTGACTATATTCAAGTTCCCCCAAAAGTCAAATTACTAGCACGGAAAACTACGAATGACGACGATCAAGCATATAACTTTACCTCAGATCTCCCTCCTACACAGAGACAGCACATTGACATTAGACTACAACTCGTTACTAAATTTTTTTCCTTTCTTTTCCAAGATCAGCCATCCTTACCGATCACGAACAATGCTCTACCCGGATTAGTTCCATCTCCACTCCCGAAAGATACTATTCTTCACAGACGCAGGTCCAAATTTCCACGAGATAGTCGCACTCGTACTCAAGAATCTCAGGAATCCATTTTTCCCAAAGCCCGCCTTGGTACCGCTAGAGCCGATGAATGTAATAACGAACGCGAGAAACATGGAGAAGAAGACAACGCAGGCTCATGTGGATCAACTCTGCCCACTTTTGGTAGACGGAAGAAGAAACATGATACACTGGAGAAGAGACATGATATACGGGTAGGAGCCCTGAAAAGGGTGTTAGGCTCAATGTCCCCAGAAAATGGATCTCCTATGGTTCTATTGTGCTGGGGCGAAAGCTCCCATTGCTCAATATTGCCTGTACCAATTGCAAACTCGGAAGATGATGTGGAAACATGGAGAGAGATACACAGAGCTTGGTACGCGCGCAGAGGATATTGGAGGAAACGTCTGCCAGGATATAGTGTCACACGAGTTGACGCTGTCAAGGTTTGTTTTGAAATTTTATCATTCTGAGAAGGATCGCTGATTACCACACTAAGATCTCACTTCTGGGATCGAAGAAGGCCTCGAAGGGCCGGGAAAATTGCGAATATATTGGGATGTATACGGGACGCGACATTCCAACTGAGAGGAATATATTACAACAGACTATAGACAACTGTGTTCCCATATCGGACTGTTTTTACGATCGTCGCACGGGAACTGTGGAATGCGGCTATGGTTGCAATTGTTTTTCTTGCTTGCCGTACGTCAATAATGCTGGGGAATGCCCAGAAGAAAAATATTGTACTGCTAGACGGAACATTGTACACTTGGACACACTCCACCTGATGAAACACGCCTTCTCTAACCCCGACCTCGCTGCTTTGAATGACTTCCTCAAAAAAGAAAATCTTCTGTACAGCCACCGGTGAGTGATACAGAGCAATAACTATCAACCATCTTAAGTGACGCAAATTCTAATTTAACTATGATAGGGATGTCCTAGGCCTAACGGAGACTTGGAACAGTTGGCACTGTCCAGCTTTGAGAGAGATCGAATTCAGGGGTATAGTAGTCAGTGAAGGTTGGGCGCTAGATAAGCATCATATAACTTTGCCTTTGTTAGTCGCTATATTACTAGGCGTGGTTGTTGCTGCTAGGTTCCTTTTCGGTTGGGATACAGCATGGACAGTTGGCGCCTTTTTTGTCGCACTAATATCGCTTCTGTTGTGCATATCCTACCAGTTGTAGTCTGATCTTGTTTTTGGCTCTCGCCGGTCGCTGGAGTATATGATGACTGTATTAGGAAACTTCCAGAATATTGTGTTCCTTTGCCTGTACCTGAAGCTCTTGGATTTAATTGTATTTCCTTCCCCTGTCTCGTTCGACAAAGAGTGTAAGCACCTTGGCGCCCACATGTCTGCGCTTACGGATTATCTGTGGCGTTCCGCCCACCCACCGCCAGGTACAGCACAATCCGTGGTATCTTCCCTTAGCTTCGCAAGCTCTCCCTCGCTTACGATGATGCTAGCCTTGGGTTATTGGACGCCTTGCTAGGCATTAATATGTTCAATACTGATGTCTCATACTTGTCGAAGTTAGGTTGTAGTCCCTGCATCCCTTGGCGATGACGGATAACCTCTTTATCTATGATACCTCACAGCCCGGAGAATCACGGGACGACGATTCTCGGTGCGCCCCCACCCCAGGTAACTTCGGCCGTTCCACCGTATACTCTCCTAGCCTCCCCGCATCATACCTTGCCACAACCGCCGCTGGATCGACTCGGGTTCCTTCCATTGGCTGAATGGGAGGGGGAAAATTCGGCAACATATTCTTGGCATCTCTAACTTCCGTCTGTATGTTTGAATCCCCATTCTCGGCCCCTCTTTCCGGATCAGCTGGGGTTCATTCTTGCCGCTGAAAGCGCGAGCTATCCATTTCCCGCCTAACGCGATTTCCCAGGTAGGTCTGACATGACCAGACGCGTTTTGCAGGACTAATTTTCCCTGATAACTTTGCTTTGGTTTTTTAAATTATATGAAAATCCTGATCAGTTCCTTTGATGAACATGACACAATATGACAAAGAAAAACAGCAAAAAAGGGACTAGGGCGCGTCACGGACGCAAACGAGGTAGCATAAGAGCGCGGTCATCGGAACTTACAAGAGAGAGTTCATCAGGGTATGAAACACAAATTTTTGAAAGTGAAGCTGGCTAAATTGCAATCTCTAACAGATTGTTAACAGACTCCATCAGTCTTCCACTCAAAGACCAACATTTATTGCTATTCTATCTGCAGTGCATCCTAGAAGAAATGTGCGAAAACTTTGGGGCCAAACATTATCAATGTCAACCACTTCTAGAGAAGCATGGCTGGATTGAGCCGAAGTCACTAGAGTTGCATTCCTGGTGCCGCGTTATCTTAAATTGTCCGGACGATTTATCATCACTATTAGCAGCGGTTCATGAAGAAAAAAGAAGAGATATCCTCAATACCTGTGCCAACATTCGTCACTCTGCAGTTTATCGCCGACCACAGGACGTTGAATCGATCTTCCGGAGTCTGGAAGCTGGGATAGGTCTGGCTAAGATGCATCGGGATACAACAGTTGTCCAACATATTCAGAGTCTCCAGTCGGACTTCCAAGCCATCATTAAGGAAACTTGGTCACGGAAACATGCCTTATCGGACAAGTTGCAGACACGACTTGAACAAATCTCGACAGAGCAGGCCCGACTCAAGCAAACGGCAATGCAGGATGCTAAAGCAGAAGTAGACAACGCTTTTAGGGAGGCTGGTGCAAGACTTGCAGATTGTGTTAACGCTATGGCACACAAAATGGCATCGGCTGCCGAGGTTGTATCAGGTAGCGATAACTTCTCCGAACCTGATATCGACAATATTCTGCTAGAGGCAGAAAAGACAGAAATAGCTCCTTTCGCGGAGTTGCCTGGATGAGCTCCATTAACGGCATATAGCCTTGATAGCCCGAGGACTGCAGGCTCTCTTCTGGCCATTGATCACGACCATGAAGCTGAATCATATGAATATCCAATTTAACTTCTCCTGCTAACTATCATAATCTTCATGAGACCGTACCCCTCCCTAAAACCCGCAAAGCGCCAAAATAAGCTGATTTAACCTATCCTCCCCGTTAACATCAACAATAAATAAGTTGACCCCCCTCCCCGAGCCTGGCCACTGCAACAGCGGCTTGAGCCCGATTCTCATAATTTGGGGGAAATTCACCAAGTTATGGCATCCTGTTGGGCCCCTCCACCAGGCAAAAGGTTCATGATTTTACATAAATCAATAATAAGTATTATTGATCGTTGACGTTTTTCCGCTTATAGGGTCTTTAAAGGTAGCCTCGCGGTGAGTAATATTGAGCATATTCAGTGCTTTTCTTACTTATTCAAGGACATCAGTTCTAAATAGAAGATATACCTGGATCTCTTTTTTAAATTTATGGTTTTTATCTCAAAGATATTTTATAATCAAGACTGCAGCTAGAACCTGATACACTATATACTTTTTAGACAAGAAGATTACTAATCTGACATACTTACTTATAAGAAAATAGGTATTTTCATTATTATATTTCCTGGCACGCTCGGGCACTGAGTAGTTTTTAAGGATTTTCTTGATCTGTCAGGCTATTTCAGATTCTAAACTAGTAATAATATATATATTAGTAAATCTTGCAAGTTCTATTACAGCTGAAATTTAATTTTCCAGCTCTTTTATATTATATTTTACTTAGTAGATATATATTTATTATAAGAAGACTTCAAGACTTTATACTGAAATAATATCTTTAAATTTTTTTAAGATAGTTATCTGCTCTTATTCCTCATTGAATTTGTCTGTAAATATTACTGAGAAAAATTTAGAATCTCTGCAGAAAAGATATTTTAAAATCATGTATTTATTGTTATCAGGGTTAATTTGAATCTTGACGCAGGGTCCGTGATATAGTGAAAGTATGCTGGAAAACAAAACCTTTAGACATGTCATTTTCAAGATTAGGATTTTATGTACGATTTCGCAAACTCTGTCGCACTTGCTCCAGATATGTCGGCCATTGAGCTCGTGGCGTTAAATCTTGATGGTGTGACTTGCACGAACGTCGGAAAAGGCAGACTGAAGTCGCTGAGAAACGATGTATGCTAAGGTCATAAAGAACACAACTATGTCAGGGAATTGGTTTGAATAATGTGTCACATGCCCCTCATGCCCGGAGCTGAGTGAGCGCACGGTTGTTTGTCCAAAGGAGTCACAAGGCCTCTGATGTGTAACTTGGCCATTGGCCGCACAGATAGACACTTTTCGGATCCTAGAATTTAATAGCCTGAAATCAAACCTTGTGTGCCACGCTACATCCTACCCACCTTGTCTCCCAATGGTACATTTTGAGATATTCCTTCCTATGTATCCAAAGGTTTAAAAACCTCTATATCCTTTCGATCGCTCGGTCGATCTAGTTTCGCCTTAAGACCAGGAGATTCTGTGCCGAACTTAATTTTACCCATGCCATCACGAAGATACTATGCTGTTGCTCAGGGTCGCCCTCCTGCCCCAGGCATTCTTTTGTCCTGGTAAGTGGTATACCACGGCTGGAGAGAATCTGGTCCAACTAAAGCATTTATCACCGCTGACGACATAACTTAGGGATGAGACGAAGTCTTTAGTCAACGGCTATCCAGGAGCTAAACACCAAAGCTTCTCAACCCTTGATAAAGCCATCGAATTCTTGGTCGAAAACGGCGTTCCAGAAGAGCAGAGAGTGATTCGAGGTGTCTCGATTGAGAGATGACAAAGATAATCGTTGGCCTTCTATACCCTTGCTGGTGTAATCAGCACGCCACTTATGTACCGTTATCTTCATTATGGCATACATGTAACTATGACTTTGGAGAGGGAGGGCTCGAAAGATATTAAGAAATATCTGCGAGCGGCGTTCACTTGTCTCTACGGACCGTTCATTTTCAGTCATATTGTCGTATACTATAACACCAAGCTAATGATATAAGAGTGCACCCCTTCTGCAGGGTATAGCAACGTCATTGATGGCTATAAGCAGAACCCTGCATGGATAACACTATCGAACAAGATTTCCATATCCCAATTTGATTGTGCATAGCCTTTTGTAGAGTAGTAGTATTAGTATTATCCTGTAGGTAGCAACCAGGTGGAATGTCTACCAAAAGCCACTCTTTAGCCCGCTGTTTCTGTTGTTGCTAAATTGTTGCCATAACATGCATTGCAATATAGTTTGTCCCATTTCCCATCGATGGTAGTCACCAGCTTGGCAGTCTTCGTACAGTTGCATCGAGTGCAATAGAAGTTGGTGGCTTTCGATAGCCTGTGCTGCTGCATATTTCCTCGCGGTGGGAATGTCTTCACTACATCTTCCAATGAAGGCATGGTTTACTGGCAGGGAGGCTGGGGTAAGACGAATTTCGGTTTAGCTATTGATACTTGACTTCATAAATGAGAAAGACATGATAATATAGGTATTAGGCTCACACTCTAATTCGTTGGCTTCTTCAAAAGCGTTATCTTCACTGCGAGACAATTGTCAGTGAAAGTTAGGAAGAGGCGTGTTTCTTGTATCTTGGGCTCTCCTTTAGAGATGCGGGGTAGCTTGACTTGCTCCTCTCAACATATCTGAAATATTACCAAACGCTTCTACGATTCATAATCATGCGTGTAGGGTGGTTGATCTGCGCCGGAAAGCTACCCCGCTGTCACCCCAATAAATGTGGGTTGATATCCAATCGACAATGCAGTAGCCCTCTTTCGTACTTTCTAAGGGGTCTAAGCGCTTGTGCGTTTTATCTAGACATAATAGGGACGAATTAAAATCACGAACCAGAATCTTAATGTTACACGTTGGGCATTTTAATTGGGCTGAAGAATCCCAATACGAGGAGGGGCAAATTTTAAGGGGAGTTTGGCTATTTAGGTAGATCCAAGACACTTACGACGTTCGGCGGAACATACTTATTTGATTGATAACTGCTGTTGTATACATTATTGTCGCCGCAGTCCCAATTATGATGGATATAATAAAGATCGCAGAGCTCACCTGTCCGGAGTTCCACGAGCTTGAAACTACCGCAGTATCAATCTGCGAGGTCGAACATTTGTCGTCTTATAATTGGATTGAAGCATCGGTCTCCACTATTGCTGTCCCGGGCATCAGTGACCTTTCAAGTCAGGGACAAGGATTCAGCCAATCATTAGTCCTGATACCTCCCTCGGCCCCGTATCAATCATGCAGCTCCATCACATCACATAAACTTATTGAGAAATTAATCAAATACTACCCACTTATGAGCGATCTCCGTCAACAGGGCAGCCCGCTGCCATCGTACTGACACCACAAGTGGTACACGTCATCAGTGTCGGAAGCAAGAGGTCCATCCGGTGTCACACCGCCTAATGGCACAACAAAGGGACAGTGTTACCAATCTCGTGTTAGCTGGTTCTAGCGTTTTGATTTCGGTTATTCGGAGAGACACTAACCTAAAACAGGCAATCTGCCGCCAATGAGCATTACAGCTATTGTTGATAACCCGGAAGAGGGCTCGGCAGAAGAGCCAATTGAGAACGTGGCGATGACTATCAAAGGAGAGGGTGCGTTATTTGAGATCTTCCTAGATCCCTTGCGCGCTGTTGAGTTGGCCAAGAAGCTATATATATAATGCAAGATTTTGATATACAAAGTAATGCCTGGCTTCAGCATTCCTTTGCCAGAATTGGTCTCAGTTATACGCGTTTTTCTTTCTTTTCCGGTGTTATCGGTTTCCGAAACCGTAACATAGCTGTTTTACCACTCAACTATTTGCGTCTTTTCTGTGCCGTGTATAACTTCCACTTTCTTATCAGGAACATCGTAGAAAAGCTCGGGCCCTCATCTAAAGCCTTTCAAAGACTGGATTTCCTGCGAAGTTAGCGATAGTCCAAGCTGTGAAGGGGTAAAAATCCCGAGACAAGTTGGATGAGGGAAATCAAGACTTGAAAACAATCACATGATTACCCTACCTTGGGCAAACATTAACTATGCCCACCAGTCAATCGACCAGGAAAGACCACTACTAGCAGATCATCTAATCTGAAGTGAATTAAAGGCGATGGAGTAAAAATCCTGGTCACATTTTTTTACCTTCAATACCGAACAATGGAAGCCAATAATCAGAATTCGGCGTAGCTCATCGTTACACAGAAAATTCTCTGCCTGCTCCCCCAACTCTGCCTCACGTCTCCGCTCTTCCTCCGTTTCTAGAAAAGCGCTTATGGCCTGGGGAGCTGCTGTTCGCCATGGCTCTATAGTAGGACCAGGAATAGTATACTTCGGTGTATACTCTCATGGGTAGGTATAGCGTAGGCCCTTAAAAGTCCTTGATGGTCCTGATAAAGGTTCTATTGTATTATATGAAATAAAACCTTGCCTATCTGATTAGATATTGCTTTGTTCTCAGAATCTGCTGGACCCATGCGTGGGAATCGTTGGTTGCAAAAAAAGGCAGCCATTTTATTATTAGGGTTTTATTAGGGTTTTAGGGTTTTATTAGGGTTT